AAAAAAAAAAAAAAAAAGGATTGAACCAAAAAAAAAAAAAAAAGTCAAAGAAAAAACACCTGTTCTGTCTGGAGTGCCTGAGAAATAAATTGCAGTTTTGATACCAAGTAAACGGAATTGAGAAATGGAAGCAGGAGAGTGGGGACATAGCCCAGCTGCTGGGCACAGAAAAGGGGGGCGGGGGGAGGAGGCATGGGGCACTGTGGCCAAGCCCCAGGAGTGTAAAATTTTAGCGAGAGCTGTTGCCAGAACAGTTGATGATTAAGAGGAGAGACCCCTGCAGTAACATTATCTAGTTAGTATAGAGTGTTCAAATTTAATCCTAGAATATTTAATACTTGTGTGAACTTTCCATTGTTAGTGAAAATATCTAGAATGTAATCAGAAAAAAACCTAGCCTGCTTGTGAAAACACGGGATTCCGCATTTGGGTGGCTTGCCAGTGCATGTGGTCAACAAACAGGAGGGACTGACAAGCACAGAGCTTGGGAACTGTTTCTGACAGAGGCACCAATAAAAACATAAGGCGAGTATCTTCCCTATCACTTCCAAACTAACATTCCATGAAATTTTCTATGAATCTATCAGTTAAGGATTTCTTTAAACATTTTTAAGCTTCTCTTAATATAACTCAGTCTATTAAGTTATCAAATCTTACCTACTAGGCATGCTTTCTCTCTCCTTTGAAGCTTTAACAGCTACACTTAAGTTTGCCAGATTTGTCAGTAGCTGGATTCAGAACTATGGTCTCAGAAGCTTTAGACTCAGTTGATTGCTGTGACTTGCAACACATCACTTAACCTCTGACCCTTATTTTGCTTTTTTTTTTTTTTTTTTTGAATTGGGGGTCTCACTCTGTAGCCTAGGCTGGAGTGCAGTGGCATGATCGCAACCTCAACCTCCTGGTTTCAGGCAATCCTGCCTCAGCCTCCCAAGCAGCTCAAACTACAGGCATGAGTCACTAATCTAATGTTTTGACAAAAAATTTTTGTAAAGACCAGGTCTCACTATGTTGCCTAGGCTGGTCTCGAACTCCTGGGTTCAAGCAGTCTCACCTCAGCCTTCCTAAGTGTTGGGATGAAGCACCGTGCCTGGCCTAATCCTTATTTTGCTGTAAATGGCAAAAGTAGTTTCTAGGTGACAAGGTTATCACTGAGTTTGAAAGACAAGGTACATGCTGATGTGCTTGAAAACAGAGGGCCCTCAGTAAATCACAGCTGTTTTTGTTCTTGGAGTCTCCTGTTTCTTTGTTGTAGGGAGATAAGAGTTGAGCTACCATGTCTACATTTTCTTCCAGCTCATTATCTCCAAGGTTTAAAATAATAATTTGACACTTCCTTAGACCTGCTCTGATTTAGAAAATATATCTACTACGGTAGAATTCTTAATCAGAAATAATAACTGACACTGGGCACTTCTTGTATGCCAGACAGTGCAAGGGCTTCGCATATATTAGGTTGGTACAAACATAGTTGTTTTTGCAAGTTGAAATTTGCCGTGTGATATTTGTATACATTCTTAATAAATATGGTTATATTACACATCATTTTAATGTGCTTTTTTTTTTTTTTGGCTAATGACATTGCTGTTTATTTTATATTTATTTTAGACTATGGGAATATTAGACAAAAAGCAAATTTGAGCAGTTTTCTTAATCAGGTTCAAAGTGGGTCGTTAAAGCAGCAGAGACATCTGCAACATAAACAATGTATTTGACCCAGGAACTGCTAATGAACGTACAGTGCAGTGGTGGTTCAAAAAGTTTTGCAAAGGAGATGAGAGCCTTGAAGATGAGGAGCGTAGTGGCCAGCCATTTGAAGCTGTCAGTGACCGATTGAGAGCAGTCATCGAAGTCGATCCTCTTGCAGCTACACGAGAAGTTGCCAAATAACTCAATGCTGACCAGTCATTTGGTATTTGAGCAAATTGGAAAGGTGAAACACCTCGATAAGTGGGTGCCTTAATAAAGCTGGAAAAAGAAAAAAAGGGGGGGGGGCTTTACTATCCCAAATGCGACCCTGTGTGGTTTTTAAAAGGCAGGTTAAGTCCCTGCGCTGCCACAGCATCCGTGCACGGTTTAATTACTAGAGCTCAGGACAAGATACTTTAAGTGCTGGGACACGGAAGAATGACCTTAGAGCTGCGGACACAGAGCTCGCGGTCCTGCCGGAGATGGACACGACAGGGATGGCCACACCGACGATAACCACGCGGGGATGGCCACGCCTGGGACGGTCACGTGGAGAGACCAAGGCCTCAGGGCCGCGGGGGTCCAATCCTGCAAACCCTTGCCGCGCATCTATTTCTCCTCGCGAAATGGAGTCACTGCACCTGCAACACTCCGTGTCCCAGAAGGGTTTACTCGGGGATAAGCGGGCTGGGAAAGGCGGATGCAAGACCTGCATGCAGAGGTGGGCAGCGCACGGCGGAGCCGCCCGTAAGCGCAGCGCAGCCGACTCGGAACTGAGGCTTGCGCCTCCGGGCTGTCCC